GCTCCACTTTTCCTCGCCACCCGCCCCGGTTATATAGACGCATATATTAGTGCCAGAGCCTCAGCTGCGCGCCGCAGGTACCGTAGCAAGGCGGAGGTGACCCGTAGTCACACTTACTCCGTAACAGAAGCTACCAGAGCACCCGATGGGCTTTAAATAGTGGCGAGTCAGAGAGAGGCAAATGCTCTCGCGAAAACCAAAACTGGGTGTGGGTCGTTAAGATTTATTTTAGGGACTCTGTATCACGAGTGTCCTGAGTAGATCGTGTCCTCTGCCTGATGCGAGTTCACTGAGTTTAGACATCAACTATTAAACGTGAGGGAAAAGGAGAACACAAAGGCACTTGCTGTCAGGATAAAAAGAGGCCTAGGGCAATGTCTCATTTAGTGGCAAAGCTCTTGAACCCAAGTGCGCCCAGATAGTGGTAGCTGGGATGGGGTGAGAAAAATACATCCCCCCCCCGAGAGCTCGGGGGAGGGGGACGGGGTTGCCTGACAAAGAGGTGGTAAGAAATGCCAGGTGGCTTGAGCAAAGGAATCCATGTAGAAAGAGTCTTGCTTAACTACCTGTATCTAGGACATGATGTAAACCAGTTTGTCATGATCAAAGCAGTGCTGGAAGATTAATCAGAAAAGAGTTCAAACCTACCCTGAGGGACAACTATTTTCTGGTTCCCATTAATCCAGGAGCTTTGAGCTTCCCTCTGAGTCAGACAGGCTTTGCACTAGCCAGCTGTCAGACTCACTCCCTTCCCTGAGCCTCTCCTGCAAGCCTTTCTCCTTCCTCCTCCCCATAGGAAACCCTGGGAGATGGAATTGAGTAACAGTTAAGAACATGAGCTCTGAAGATGAGTGTCCCAAACCACATTCCTTGATTGGCATCACTTCACAGATTGTGACAGTAGGCAAAACCTAATCCTTTTCTTTCTCAGTTTCCCCATCTATAAATATCAATAACAGCAGTGTCTACCTTATACTGCTATCCTAGATTATATTAATTATTGTTATTTCTGTAACAAATTACCACAAAAGTCAGACCTTACAGTGACTCTCACTGAGTTACAAACAAGGTGCCAACACACCTGCATTTCTTTCCAGACTCTAGTAAAGAATTTGTCCCTTTGCTTTTCCAGTTCCTAAATACTATTACATCCTTTACTTGTGGCTTTCTCACTGTGTGGCTCTGGTATCCTGGAACTCACTACATAGACCAGGCTGGGTTTGAACTCACAGATATCTGACTGCCTCTGCCTCACAAGTGCTGGGATTAGAGGCGTGTGCCACCATGTCTGGCTTTAAATAAATAAATAAATAAAAAAGATTTACTTATGTGTACTATTGTTTCTCTATATGTGTATCTGTGCACCATGTACAGTGCTCACTGAGGTCAGAAGAGAGAGAGCATCAGATCCCCTGCCACTGGAATTACAATTGTTACCCACCATGTGAATGCTAAGAAACAAAGCCGGGTCCTTTGCTAGAGCATCGAGTGCTGTTAACCGCTAAGCCATCTCTCCAGCCAAGTTTCATTCATTTCACATACCTGAGTGTTCAGTGCACAATGACTTGGGAAACCAGAGAATCTGCTACACCTGACAGCGCATTTCACCAGAAACCAAGCCCATTGCTAGTTTGAGTGAAGCCACCAGAGCCTCACTCCTCTTCCCACTGTCTTGATTGTACAAGGGAATACAGCCTTTCCTGGGAAATCCCATCTCCACATGCTTCAGAATATGAATGACAGAAAAAAAAAAAATCAGGACGACCACTATTGTCACACTCTGTTAAGGTCCTATTGGGTTTTTTGTTTTGTTTTGTTTAGTTATGCACCTACTGATAATTCTAAACATAGCAGAGAAAGCTTCGGGAATTTTTTTTTTCTTAAAAACCAAACAATGCTTTAAAGCCACAGAGAAACCCTGTCTAGGGAACACTCCCCCCCCCCCGAAAAAACAATGCTGAAGTTCTGAAGTAATTGGAAAATTTAGGATGAGTTAGAAAGAAATGGTCCAAACAGGTCTAAGCAAAGGGCAGAAGGTAGCTGCCCTGAGATTGGTACCAATTAGAAATGTAAACTATTTGCTTTTTCTTTTGTTTTGTGTTTGTTGTTTGTTTGTTTTCCAGGACAGGGTTTCTCTGTGTAGCTCTGGCTGTCCTGGAACGTACTCTGTAGACCAGACTGACCTCGAACTCAAAGATCTGTCTGTCTCTGCCTCCTGAGTGCTGGAATTAAAGGCGTATACCACCGCTGCCTGGCTTAAACTATCAAAATATCAGCAGTTTCTTCAAAGTTGCTTTTTGTGTGTTGACATCAAACATCCCATAATGCTGTTGTATTTCGTCATCTTGAGAGAAACCTGTGGTACAGTGTAGACCAACTGCAACTCCCTGATACCCATGTCTATCAAGAGCTCCGATGTAAGAGACACTATTTATGAACTTCTGTCAGAGGCCATAAATCTCATGGCTATTCATACAAATGGGTCTTTAATAAAAATAAGTTAGGCTTTCCTCTGCTGACTGCTTCTCCAACTACTGAGGCAGTCCTGCCTGGTATTAGCACTCCCTACCTGCAGGTTCCACTCTTGAAAAGGGAAAAGAAACCTGAAAACTAAATCACAAAAGAATGAGGAAAATTTTTCTCTTTCCTACAAAGAAATAAAGCAAATTACAGAGCATCTTGGTTCAGAAAGTAAGCATGACCAGAATGCATTGCTCCATAGAGTAAAGCCAAGTTATGAACACAAGGAGAAGGGGCATGCTGGACAGGCCAGCTTGCTGTTAGTCACTGCCTCCTGCTGAGGTATTCCTCTCCTAAGCATTGGCTACGCAGACCTTTCCCTTCCCTTTGAAATCTTGACACCATCTCTCCAAACCCAGTTCCAAATGCTCCCCTTGGGAAGCAGGGCTGCTTGAAGCTACCTCTTACCGGGCCCCTTTCCGGCCCTGCTAGAGAAGTTGCCTCACCTTGAGTACTATGCTTTCTTCTGCACAATTCAGGACTGAAGGAAGTCAGTCCACTGACCACTTCTCCTTTGAAAGCAGTTTCTGTTGCTTCCTCTCTGTGGCCTTGGACAGTTCTGTTAGTACCTAAAGGGTTTTGCTTTTATATTTTGTTTTGTTCTGGTTTTGTTGTTGTTGTTGTTTTGCTAAGAATTTAAAACTAAATGTGTTTATAACTAAGTTTTCTGTCTTTGATTTTGTTTTGGTTGTTTGGTTGGTCGGTCAGTTGGCTGGTTGGTTTTTTGTTTTTTATTAAATTAAGGGTCTCAAAAATGTCACCACGAGGGCTGGAGAGATGGCTCAGAGGTTAATAGCACTGTCTGCTCTTCCAGGGGTCCTGA